GCCTGACTTGGGTCATCAGACAAACGTCAGACCCTGAATTTGTCTCCCAAGAAGATGCCTGTCCATTGAGGCTGGAGGACACTGGGACATGAGAACTAAAGGGAGATGGGCCACTGAACGTTCTTTTCAGAATGCTGCCATGCCTTGGCCAGGGGGTGTGAAATAGCCAAGGTGCTTATTTTAAAAATAATTTTTTAGAGAAAGATTTTTGCTACAGGGCACGTGCACTTGCTGGAAAGACAGAGAGATAGCGAAAAATTGCCCCCAGGGAGGATGGCCACACCATAGTCCTTTCTCCTCCATTTTCCTCTCAGGATCTTGGGTACGCACGCACACGTACTGGCATGAATTTTAAGCTGCCATGTCCAGGACTTGAATTGCAGTCAACTACATGGGAGTCCAGAGACGTAACCTTTATGCCACCTGTTTGTCCTCAATGTGTTTATTTTTTAATAGCCAGAGGGCACCTGCACTCTCCAGAGAGAGGCAGAGAGGGAGGGAGAAAGCTCCCCAGTGGAGCACAGCTACACCACAGTCCCTCCTCTGTTTCTCCAGACCATCAGGAGTTTGGACATGCATGCACACACGCCTGGTGTGTTTTTCAAGCCACCAGGGCTAGGATTTGAATTGCAGTCAGCCAGGTGGGACCCAGCTCTCCTGACCACTTTGCTGGTCTATCAGCCTGTCCAAGCTGGCTCTTTTCAAACTTCCTCTCGGGAAGTCGCCCCTGGCTCAAGCTGCCTCTGAGGCTCTCAAGAGTTCTTCTCCTTCCAGCAACATGTAAGCCTGGTCCCCTGACCTCCAGGTAAAGTTCATTCCAAGGACAGCAGCTGACCTGCACAAGAGGCTCTGTCTTCTGCAGCACCACCTGGGCAGGAGCCTGGAGGGCCTGGGCAACCTCTGTGACCACGCGCTCCCTCGAAGCAACTGTCCTCTCCAGGGCCATCACCTTCAGGGCCAGGTCCCTGGCCTGGGACATCTGAGGCTGCAGGGAGATGGGGGGCTCAGACGGGAAGCTCGGGGGCAGGTCGTTTACTGGGAAGAGGCACAAGCGTCAGCCCCTGGTTGCTAACCCACAACCCAAGCCTCATGCCCCTGGAAAACCCAGTGCACGTCCCCGATGGCCCAAGTACACTGGAAGCCCCAGGGGCAAGAGCAGGGGCTGGGCTGTGGGGTACCTGGGAGGCAGAGGGGCCAGGGGGAGAGAGGCCAGGCTGGTGAACGAAAGCTGAGGGGCAAATGAGTCACCCGGGGCTGATTCCAGACCTCTCACCCTGTCTTGTTTAGAGGATGGCTGACCTCCCTGACCTGCATTTCCTCACTGCAAAGTGAGACTCCTTCCCCAGACCCACGATCCCTTAGTGGAAACCTTGGGTTAGGCCTGCTTTGGACGGGAGAGGAGCAGAAGCAGGCAGTGCTGCACGTTGTCCACAGCCTTAGCCGCATCTGAAGCAGAGCCCGGGTCACCTGCACCATCCGTGTATTCCTCAGCGTACACGGTGGGAAGAGCTCAGACTCAAGGAGGTAGCCTTGGGCTGCCAGCTAGGTTGGGTTTTGTCCCAGATGCATTTCTGTAAGCTCGCTGCTTTCTCCGAGTGCAGTGTCTGAGCTTGGGGATGTCAGGACTACTGGACAGACACGATGGGCCTGATTTATTCCCGAGGTGATGAGCAGGGGGATGGACGCACCCCTGCGCATTACTCAGAACCCCCACCCAGCCCCCATGGAAGCAGCCCCGAGAGAACCTAATGGGCACCTGAGGCTTGGAGGGAACGCCTCGGCCTTCACCTGGCGTCATTACTAAGGTCGCTGTGAGGGAGAAAGGTTGCCAGCCTTCACAGTGTCACAAGGGACAAGGCGGCTGAGCGCTGCCTGCCAGCCCTGCAGGGGGGTATCTCATCTTAATCAGCTGGGTACAGTTACTGTAAAGCCCAGGCCTCGGCCCAGGCCCCACTGGCTTCTCCGGCGGCTAGGCCTCCGCGACCCCCACGTCGAACCCAAGGACACAGGGCTGACCGTCGCTCCTGGGGCAGTCAGCGTGGCCAGGCGCGGGGCCGCATCTGCGCCGACTTGCTGCACGGCGGCTAGCACCCTCTCGGCTTCAGGCAGCTCCTCTGCCACAGCCATGCCCAGTGCCTTCTGGGCTGCCTGGACCTCCTGGTACCTGGGAGGAGACAGAGGCCAGGGGCCCACGGATCAGGGAACGGGCTGTCCCTCCCCATGGCTGCCTGGCTCTGGGCTGGAGCCCCTGACTCACAAAGGCAGAGTGGTCCTCTGTGGGTCAGGACCCAGCAGCTGGCCTCACAAAGTGGCCACTCGGCGGCTTTCCCAGGCCCAGAACACAGTGACGGGACCACGTCCTGTCCTGTCCTTCTATCTGGTCATTCTTTCCTGAAAGGGATCCTGCATGGTCTGCGCCCAGGAGCCCCGTGTTTGGCAAGCGTCTGCCCCTCTGGAAGACTGAAAGGGAAATGCCTGGTGGTGTGAGGAGCTCAGTGGCCGAGCCCTGTCCCAGCTCCGCGCTCACTGGTGGCCTGTGTGTTGCTCTCCGCCAGCACGTGGAGGCCCAGGGCCGCATCACCGCTACGGGCACTTCAGCCCTGAGGCCTGTGGCTCTGTAATCAGCCAGCTGGGATGGTTTTCCCAACCTGCCGAGTCATCCGCAGCAAGGGTGGCTTACCGTGGGCACCCCTCGGCTGGGGACTCCCAGCTTCCGTTCTACTCCTCACCATGTCTCAGAGAGCCAGCCCCCCGCCCCTGGAATAGGTCACGTGACCTCACTCAGCCATGCCAACAGGTTCAGGGCTGGACACCTGATCTGAGCCAATCAGATTCTTTCATCTAGGAACATTGCCCCGAGCTCAGCGAATGTTGATGGGTCTCCACTGACCCTTGAACTGAGAGGGACAGACGGGGGCACCGGGAGCAGAGGGGCAGAGGTGGCTGGTCTGCAGAGGAAAGGTGGGCGCTGTACCAAGGAGGGGAGGCTGCCCTCGACCTTACCGGGGGAGGGCACACGGATGCTGAATCCTGCCACTGACCGGGAAACCTGTCATCACACGATGTCGGACCCTGAACTCATCTCCTGACCAGGGGCCCGTCCCACTGGAGCTCGGAGGACACCGCAACACAAGAACTAAAGGGGAGGCGGAGCCGGAACGCTGCCACGGCTCGGCACGTGAAGAGCGGATGTCGAATAGCCGATGCGTTTGTTCATATTTCTAATCGTCAGATGGTGTGCACACTTGCCAGAGAGAGACAGACAGATGGGGAACACCCCAACGGGGCTGCTCGGGTCCTGGAGCTTGTCCCTTCTCCTAAGAGCCTGAGCTTCACCCCGGCCATTAGTGGGTTTCTGTGCCTCACCACTGAGTAGGCCCCAGACCAGTGGCCCCACTTCGAGTAGGACACGAACCCCACACATCCCGACCGGCCACAGAGACCTGGATCCAGCAGCTTCTGGCTAAGCCCTGTAGGCCCCAGTGTGGGTGGCCTCACCTGTCCTCCAGCTCCCGCTGTGTCTCCAGGGCCACACGACCCTCCACCAGGCTCCAGAGGAGCACGTAGCTCGTGTTGGAGGCCAGCAGGGCCCGTCGGGCTGTGGCTTTGATCTTGGTGGCAGTGTCTCTGTGGCTGAATGAGAAGACCCCCCGACATCACCAAGAGCTCACACCCTACTGCGCAGGCCCCTCGCTGTCCCAAATGGGGCACAGTGACAAGGACGGACTCCTTTCTACCCCTCTGCCTAACGGTGAGGGCGGACCGGAGTCCGTGCCTGCTGTCCTGGGCCTTCCCTCACATGCGAAAGCATCTCCGTTTGGCCCTCATTAGACAGTAGACATAACAGCCTGGGTTTATCTGTCGAGCTGCGTGTTCTCAAGCCAGTCACTGTACCGCTGTGAATCTGCATCCCCCTCTATAAATGAGTCTAAGGTCTCTCGAGTTTAGCCAATGGGGAAATTGCTGCAGATCTTAAACCGCTTCAAAAAGGCAGGGGATGAATAACCCAGAGGTCTCCAGTTGGTGACCAGATAAACGAATGTGGCATATCCGCCAGTGGAATATTACTCAGCCAGAAAAAGGAAAAGCGCTGACCTGTGCTACAAGGTGGAAGAGCCTGGAAAACATCCTGCCGCGTGACAGAAGCCACACACCTCACAGTTTGTCTCCTTGAAATGCCCAGAACAGGCAAATCAAAGGAGATCGGTGGTTGCCAGGGCTGGGACGTTGAACGATGGGGAGTGATGGCAAATGGGTGTGGGCTTGCTGTGGGGTGATGGAAATGCTCTAAGATCAACTGCAGGGGAGGCAGTGTAGCCCGGTGAACAGCCGAGACCAGGAGGTGTGCAGTATGTGAGTTACAGCTCATACAGCTGTGACGACAGACGAGCCTGCGCACCCTCCCCATTGGCTCTGGCCCACACCCTGGCTTCCCTCTCCCTGTCACCCCCGATGGGGCAGTTCTCGGACTCACGTGGTCTCCACTGTTGGGTGGGAGTGCCTGTGGGACTGACCTTGACCCTGGAACTACCCGGAGAAGGGCTGGGCTCCCTGGAGACTGTGGGCACCTCACCCTGCCCTGGGGCCTGGGACTCACCTTCTGGCGAGAGCACGGGCCTCCGTGGCCAGATGGCTCCAGTAGGTGGGCTGGCCGGGCCCTTCCTGAGGAATCACCTGTGGAGGGAAGAGGAAGGGGAGGAACTGACAGCCCGTCCCTGGAGGGCCAAGGCTACATCTGGCCAGCTGTGGGGCAGAGGTAGACGGTGCCAGGCATTTGACAGATGCACAAAGCTAGCCGCCAAGCAGGGGCCCAGGGGACGGAGGCCTAGACGCAGAAACACCAATGACGAGGCCGCCAGCCCTCCCAGCTCATTCGCTGTCCACTCAAAATCCGCCTCGTCCCCTGCAAAGGCATCTCACTTCATGGGGGAGGGGGAACACTGCAAGGTCCAATTTTGCAGACCCTGAGCCCAGGGTCACTGGGTCAATGGTGGGGCCAGGGCAGGGAGCAGCCCCAGGCTGTGTGAGAGGGGCTGGGTACCAGAGACGCCAGGACGGTGGCTGCGTGTAGGATCTCCTCCTCTGAGGACACCAGGGCCGCCTCCAGATCTGCCACCCACGCGCAGGTCTGCCGGGCCCCAGCCTGGGCACAGTGGGCACTCTTGGTCAGAGCCTGCATCTGCTCCTTGGCGGCCTTCACAGCACCCTCGAGGCTCGTCATCTGTTCCAGGAAGGCTGCCTGGGTCCCTGTTGGAAGGCCACAGCCCAGGGGTCACTGAGTGGTTGAGATTTCATACCCCTGGGGGCTCCCACCTGTGCCACCAGCCCTGAGCACCAGGTATTTTCAAAGCCAAAGTCTCCCCAAGGAGACTTTTTCTTTTCCTTCTTCTTTTTTTTTTTTTTTTTGGAGAGGTTTTTGCTATAGGGTGCGTGTGCTCGCCAGACAGACAGACAGAGACAGAGAGACAGAGAGCGAGAAATCACCCCCCAGGAGGGATGGCCACGCTGCAATTCCTTCTCCTCCATTCTCCTCTTGGGATCTTGGGCACGCACGCACACGCGCCCGGTGTGAGTTTTAGGCCACCGGGTCCGAGATGCGAACCATGGTCGACTACTTGGGGGTCCAGCGACATAGCCATTACGCTAACTGCTGGTCCTCCTCAAGGAGACTTTTTAAATTTTTACCAGAGGTACAGAGAGAGAAAAAGTGAGAAAGCAAGCTGCCAGGTCCAGGACTCGAACCATGGTTGGCCATGTAGGAGTCTAGCGCCCTTAACCACCATGCTACCTACCGGCTCCTCCTTCTTATCCACTTATTTAAGTGCTGAGCACTGTGCTGCGATGTGGCAGTGGGCAAGAGGGGGCCGGACAGTGGCACAGCGGCAAAACTCGACACTCCCCTGATCCACATGGGAAGGTTCCTGGTTTGAGTCCAGAGACCTCCCAGAATACGCATGTGTCCACACTCGGGGGCTGGGGAAGCTTGAGGAGGACGGCAGTGTGCAGGCCTGGCTGGGGTGTTGTCTCTCTGCCTCTCTCTCACTCATGGAAGAAATCATTAAAAACCGAAAAACAGCCAAGAATCAAGACAGCAGTTCCTCGTGTCGGCACCTGGGACTGTGTTTGAGGCTTTCGCAGAGAGTGAGTAAATGAATGACCCCAGCCCTGCCCTCTCTGAGCTGGCAATCCAGGCAGGGCAGGGGCGTGTAATCAAGTTACAAGTGCAGGTGCCGGGACATTAAAGGAGAGGCCCTTGGGTGGCAGCGCTGCCCCCAGGAACTCAGGCTGAGGGCCCCACAAGGGCACATGACCAGGGGTCTCCCAGACCCTCCCCCTTACCTTGCAGCAGGTAGTGGCTCTGATAGATGTCTCCCCGGGGGGCCTCTCCCTGCAGAATATCCAGTGGTCCCCAGGGACTGCCACAGTCAGACCCCTGCAGCCACCCCTCCATCAGGGTCAGCTGGGTCTTCAGCTTGGCTGCCTGAAGGGGACAAGGTGTGTATGAGGCTGGTGGCCTGGAAATCCTGCCAGGGCACCTCCCCTGGCGTCAGCCCAGCCTGCCCTCAGAGAGGATTCCCCTCTCCAAATCCTACCCTGGGCCTCAGAGCTAAGGGGCCCCACTCCTCTAAAAGCCTAGCCTGCTCACCCCAGTGTAACTGCTTCCTTTCTCACACTTACAGCACCTGACACTCAGCTGACCACACCTCTGTCCTCTGCAGGGGCTGGGGGGCACGAGGGGCCCCAACTGCCGTGTTCTCTGCTTTGCTGGGATGTGGCACAGAGCAGGCCCACCGTAGGTACCGGCTAACTCGGTATGCTGGCAACGTCCCCAGCCCCGTTCCGGCAATCACATGGTTGGGAACTACAATTCAGCGCACGCACCAGGAGCCAGCAGCGGCACAAGTACCCGCCACACCCAGCTCTGTTCATCCCTGGCCACAGCCCTGCCCTCACGCCGGAGCCCTGGATGCTCTGAAACCCACATGGCTCCCTGTCCTCACTTGATGGCAAAGTTCGACCTGAACTCAGCTGGCCGCAAAGCTGTCCTGCAGAAGGCTACTTGTGGTCTTTACACACTTGCTACAGATTTTTCTGCAGGAAAAACGGTGGATTTCATTATAGGGGTTGGCCTGTCTACTGCTGGTACTCAACCCTGTGCAAACACTCAGGGCAGATCTTACCCCACTTTTCTTAACAGCAGACCTCTGGAAATCTGGCCCTGCCCGCTGCTTCTGCTCAGGGTCTGGTCTAGCTCCATCGTGAAGGAAGAGAGACCCTGAGGCCTACCAAGGCCTCTGCCTGCCCGGGGAGTCCTGAGGGGTAACTCTGGGTTCGGGCTCGGGCTCTGTACCACACCCCTCCTTGCGGGTCTCCCTGTGCCCTAGGACGGGCAGTGCCTCCTCCTGACCCTCCTCACAAAGGGTCACCTGTGCTCTCAACCCCCGCTGAGCTTGACCGAGTACGAGACTGGTCCTGGGGGCGGATGGGTGATAAGAGTCCCTCCCTCCTGTGCTCAGAGCAGGGGAGAGGGTTGAGCAGGGTTAGGGCTGAGTGGGTTGGCAGGGCCAGGAGCTAGGCAGGCATCACAGGCCTGAAGTCACGCTGAGCAGGCAGTTCTGGGCATGGCACAGGGTGGCACACCCAGGGGGCCCAGAGTGGATGTGCCTGAATGGTCCAGGCATGTGGGCTCACCTCCTCCTTCACCAGGGCGTAGCAGGGTGGGCACTCCTGGCAGCGCGTGCCCCCCTCCGTAAGGAAGAAGTTGTCTCCGCAGCGGTCACACTTGTAGCCCACGAAGCCGGGCCTGCACACGCACGTGCTGTTCGCGTGGCACTGGGCCGAGGCGGCGCCCAGCGGGGAGCACCTGCAGGCTGGAGGGCCAGTGGCCGTGGTTGCTGGGTGCCTGCTGGTCGCCCCCGTGCCAGGAGCTGCCCTCCGCCCCTGGATCCCTGCACCCTCACACCTGTCAGCTCCCAGAACCCCTGGGGCAGCCTTAAATCAGATTCCTGGCTCCCTGGGAGACTGAGTCAGAGGCGAGGACTTAGACTCCTTAAAAGGTCCCTGGGGACCGGAGGAACAGCCAGGGCTAGGAACTGCCAGTACAGCCCAACTGTGAAGTGGGAGACCGAGGCCCCAAAAGGTAACCTCATGGGCTCAGACACAGGACCAGATTCCCAGCCGGTCAGGGGAGGTGGCCATTCCTCCAGGATCACGCTCCATGGCCCCACGGCCGCTCTCAGAGGCCTGCTTTGCGTCTGTCTGCCCCTCTCTCACTGCACCGTCTTCTCCTGGTCGTTTTTGGCAGGAGACCTCTGGCCCCTCCCTCCAGGCAGCCTGGAAAGGACCCAGCCTCCTTACCCCGGCAGCCCTTGGCAGAGAAGCCAAAGAAACCCAGCTGGCATCTGTCGCAGGCCTGGCCGGTGACACCGGGGCGGCAGGGGCACTGCCCAGTCTCGGGGTGGCACTGGCCCTCCTGGGAGCCCAGCGCGTGGCACTCGCAGCTGCGATAAGGGAAGGAACCGAATCCGAGGGACGCTCTGCCACTCCCAGCCCAGCCCCTGCGGCCCCTCTGCCGGCAAGCGCGGGGCTAGGTCAGTGCATGTCAGACGGCTTCCCCAGGCCGGGTACTGGGAAACACGTGTGTGGGGTGCCCGCCAAGAGAAGGAGAAAGGCTCTCAGGACAAATGAGTGTGGAGAGACTGTGTCCCTCTGCTGGGAAGACAAAATGCAATTAGCACGCTAAAGGCTCTGAGAAGTCTCGCAAGGAAGAAGCCTTGCTTCCCTCCGCAGTCCCCTAAAATCTCCCGCTGGTCTCTGAACACTAAGGCGCTGCGTGGCCAAAAGGCTGCCTGGTGATGGGCCTCGCTCAACAGGGACTGAGACCAAGCTGGCCCCTGCTCACTGGACATCCCTTAGGGCTGCTCATGGCGTGTGTCCTGGGCTGGCAGGGCCACGCATCTGTCACCACAGGGCCATCCCTTCGTCCTCTTTGGGTGAAGGGCAATGGGCCTGGGATGACATGGGCCCCTCCCTGGAGGCTCCCTGTACCTTCTTCCATCCCGGTGAGATGCCCCAGCCCACCTACCTCCGGCAGCCCTGCCTGGGCTGCAGGTCATAGAAGCCTGGGCTGCAGTGGCCGCAGTCCCGTCCGGTCACATGAGGCAGGCAGGAGCACTGGCCGGTCACCGGGTCACAGGGCGCCTGCTCACTGACGGAGCCCTCCGGGTTGCAGCTGCAGGCTGGGGCGGGGAAAGGTGTGGGGAACCATAGTGGGCATTCGTTCTCCCTTGGGGGTCCAGTAAAGGCAGACAAGATGGGGAACCCCTGGAGATGACTGACATGCAGCCCAGATTCCTAAGCCCCTTCTAGAAAGAGGCCCTAGTTCAAATCTCAGCCCTTTGCCGTCCTTGGACAGACAGCCCACGCTGGTTGTCAGAAGAGCCTGTCTGAGCCCCAGCAGGCTGCAGAGAAGGCCAGAACTCCCAGGGGTCACGGGCAGAGTCCACGCCACCGCCACCGCCAGGACAGCACCTTGCTCTGAGCCCTGCGGGCTCCACAGAGGGGGCAGTGCCCACAGGTGCCACGTGGGAGCGGGCTCCAGGAACTGTGGGGCAAACGTCGAACTTCTCTTCTGTGGAGCTCTTAGGAGCCTTCCCTGATCCCCAAGGGGGGGCAGAGCTGAGTGCGAGTCCGGGCAGCAGGGAGGAGATGGGGCAGGAGCATCTCAGCGGAGGCTCGGCCTGACTGGAGGCCCGAGGCAGGGGAAGTACCCAGGACTGGTTTGTGAGGTCTCTGAGCTGAGGGCGAAGAGCAAACCCTTACGCTCTCTAGACAAGGGGTCCGAGACGGGGAGTGACCGTCTGAGGCCACACGACAGAAAGGCCGCCTGTCTGAGTCCCGAGCCAGGGCAGGGAGGGAGCCCCGGGGGTCCACCGAGCTCCAGGGTGGGTACTCACGCACACACTTGTCTGCAGGCCCCGGGGCCAGGGCGCTCCCATGGAAGCCATCCTGACAGCGCTCACAGTGGGCACCTGTCGTGTTGTGCAGGCAGCGCAGGCAGCGGCCAGACAAGGGGTCACAGTTGCCCACGGCATTGGGGTCCACATTCCCGCTGCACTGGCATCGGTGGCAGGGCTGGGGCACCCCAGAGAGCCCCAGTGGGTCCCCAAAAAAGCCATCATCACAGATCTCGCAGCGCCGCCCTGTGTGAAGACAGCAGTGTGAGGATGCCCGTCAGCTGCACCCAGCGGGTGAGGGTGGGTGGGACGCAGGCCGGCACCCGGCACATCGCCCGCAGGGCAGCACATGGGTTCCGGCTCAGCCAGCGGTTGGGCTGGGGGCCTTGAGCAAGTTCTGTGCTTCTTTGAACCCAGGCTCTCCATCTGTCAAGTGGGGACAATAGCGGGGGCTACCTCAGAGGGCCAGGGTGGATCTGCTGCCATCACAGAGCCAGGCGTGCTAGCCCTGAGCAGCAGTCCCCACCCCTCAGTGTCACCATCATCTCCATTATCTTCAGCACCGTCACCAGCCCTCAATCGCCACTGTATCGTCACCCACCACCGTGGTCATCACCGTGATCCCTGTCACCTTCGTCATTGTGACCACTGTCTCCATCATCTTCACCACCATCTCGTCACCTCCAGTGTCATCGCCCACCACCGTGGTCATCACCGTGATCCCTGTCACCTTCACCTTCGTCATTGTGGCCACTGTCTCCATCATCTTCACCACCATCTCATCACCTCCATCGTCATCACCCACCACCGTGGTCATCACCGTGATCCCTGTCACCTTCACCTTCATCATTGTGACCATCGTCTCCATCATGACCACCATCTTGTCACCTCCAGCATCATCACCTTCGTCACTCTCCAGCGTCATCACCCACCACCGTGGTCATCACTGTGATCCCTGTCACCTTCATCATTGTGACCATCGTCTCCATCATGACCACCATCTTGTCACCTCCAGCATCATCACCTTCGTCACTCTCCAGCGTCATCACCCACCACCGTGGTCATCACTGTGATCCCTGTCACCCTCGCCATCATCATCCTGACCGATACCTCCATCATCATCTTCATCGCTATCTTGGTCATCACCTTCATCTTCTTCGTTGTCACCACCCAGTGTCACTGTCACCCTCCTTTCCATCGTGCTCTTCCTCAACTCGCCGTCGTCTTCCCATGCAGTCCTTGGCCTTTTGCCCGTCTGCCCTCGTGGGTTCCGAACTCCCTCTGGCTCTCATTTCAGACTCCTGGCCCACTTCCTGGGTCTGCGCCGGGGCTGCTCATCTTCCGGCCTCGGGGGCTCTGTGAGCCTCAGAAGAGCTGCTATGGAGGAAGGCCTTGGGGACAGCAGCCTCAGAGACCCACTCTGGACACATGGGCATGAAAGGATGCAGCTGTACTCCACATGTGTGCCACGCAGCGCCCGCCATCCCAGGTGGGCACAGCCGTCTGCCTTTCTCCAGAGGGTAGAGGCGTCGGGGTCTACAGGCGTGAACAGCAGTGGGGCCCCTTGCAGGTGGTGAGGTGGTGGCACGTCGGTCCCCTGGCTCCCAGGGCCCCTTGAGGGTGGTGAGGTGGTGGCACATCGGTCCCCAGGCTCCCAGGGCTCCTTGCGGGAGGTGAGGTGGTGGCACATCGGTCCCCTGGCTCCCAGGGCCCCTTGCGGGAGGTGAGGTGGTGGCATGTCGGTCCCCTGGCTCCCAGGGCTCCTTGCGGGAGGTGAGGTGGTGGCACGTCGGTCCCCAGGCTCCCAGGGTTCCTTGCGGGAGGTGAGGTGGTGGCACGTCCAGTCCCCTTGCTCCCATGCAACTTCATGTCTCACTTTTTTTTTTTTCTGGCCAGAGGGCATTATGCTTGCCAGAGAGAGACAGAGAGACATATCACCCCAGAGGCCTGCCGGGACACACGGAGGGACTAGTTCTCACTGAGCACCTTCCAACACGTCCGAGTCCCGACACACAAGTCTCTGTGGTGCCCAAACTCTGGCACCCTCAGGTCTGCCTCAGCCCCAGTTGGTCTGAGCTTCTCTAACTGGGTGGCTTCCCTCATGTCGACAGGCCAGCAGGACCACAGCCAGGAACCAGAAAATGTGAGGAAGGTTCTGGAAACAGGGGCCGCATGAAGGCAGGGTGAGGAGCAGGGTCCTAAGGAGGGAACTCCATCCCTCAGCTCTTGGGCTCCCTGCCAAGGCCTGTCCACGCAGCTGTGCTGGCTGCGGGCCGCTTCAGAATGGCCCTGTGAGGCAGGGTGTCCAGGAGGACAATGTGAAGCCAGGTGTCCAGGGACCTCGGAAATGCCATGCTAAGCAAAACAAGCAGATTCAGAGGGACAGGTATCATGGGGGTCCACCGTGAGATTCCCGGGATAGTCAAATGGACAGACAGAAAGGACAGGTGTTACCAGGGCTGGGCTGGGGACCGCTGAATGGTAAATCTCACAGGGGCAGGGCCTGGGGTGACGAGAAAGTTCTGGAAACAGAGGCTAGTGATGGTTACACAGCACCGCAAGTGCACTTACTGCCACTGAGTTGTACACATGAAAATGGTTAAAACGGCAAACTTGTGCGATATTTACTGTGCTAAAAATGAATAATGGGGTCAGCTAGAAGCTATTTAGTCGTACGTTATAAACAGGTGAAATGCAGAGTAGGTGAGTAATACCTCAGTAAAGCTGTTTTTTTAAAAGATTAAAAAACGTCTTGCCAGAGGGTGCATGCACTCCTCAGAGCGCCGAGAGATGGAGTGAGGGGGGTTTGGCCATGCCACAACCAACCCCTTCTTTTCCATCTCTCCCTTCTGTTGGGGATTAGCATGCACGTGTGCTCAGCATGTTTTTCTTTTCTTTTCAGATGTATTCAATTTTATTTATTATTATTATTATTTCATTTGCGATAGGGCACATGCGCTCACCAGAGAGAGAGAAAATGAGAGTTGAGAGTCGAATCACGGTCAGCCAGTGGGAGTCCAGCACCTTAACCACCACGCCGCCTGCCGGCCCCCGGGACGGTTTTCAAGCTGCCTGGGCTGAGACTCAAATCATAGTCGGCCATGTGAGATCCAGCCCCCTTAACCACTAGACCATGAGGCAGGCCCCACAAAGGTGCTTCTTAAAAAGTCAAATGTCTAGGCTATCTCTAGTCCTGGAGTGGGGGTGAGAAACGGGAGAGGCCTTGGACAGAGATGGGGAGCCTGCACTTCACACACCACCTGCTGGGAGTTTTCAACGCCCAAGTTTAACCAGGATTTCCACCTGGTCCTAGCTGGGTACAGACCTTGTCAGGGAGACGGACCCTGAGACTGCACCTCGAACTACCAGTCAGGCTCTGCGGGGCCAGCAGCCGAGGAGACGGGTATTCTCAAAAGCTTCCCTGGACACACCCAATGTGGCACCCATGGCAGCCCGGCTGGGACTCAGCGTGCCCCGAGGTCATGCCTGCCGCCCCAAGCTGGGATCTCCCTACCCGGAGCTCAGGGTGCAGGCAGGACACTGGAGATGTGTCTCCCGGGGGCACTCACCTCTCTGGCCCGGGGGGCAGTGGGTACACACCACCTCTTCACTCCCGGGGAGCATCGTGCAGGCTGACTGTCCAGGGCATGGGCAGGGCTGGCAGGCGTCGGCCTGGCCCGTGAAGGGGTTGCCATAGAAACCAGGCAAGCAGCGCTCACAGGACGGGCCCTCGGTGTGGTGGCCACACAGGCAGATCCCTGAGGGGTAAGACAAGCACCTGCTTACCCCCACGTGGGCCAGGAATGGCCCAGATGGCAACATCCCATGGAGAGGTCCGGAGCACGTCCGCACAGGAGCAGGCTGGGAGGTCCCGGAGCGCGTCCCGCACAGGAATGGGCTGGGAACCTTCCGAGGCTGAGGCAGCAGGCGGGGTGAAGGGTCCAGGTCCGGAGCCGACACCCGGGTTCACACCCACTGCTCACTGATGCCCGAGTCTGGGCAAATCGTCTAACCCTCTGCCTCGGTGTCCTCACCTGCGAAATGGAAATAACGGCCCAGAGGGTTTTCACCGGGACTGAGCAGCCGAGCACTCAGGGTGCCTCGTACGCTCTCGGGCGCACGCACGTGACTCCTGGCTGGTCGCTGCTGCTCTGTATTCCCGAACCTCTCTGCTCCACAGGCGACGCAGCTGGCGGCCGCCCTCACGCCACTCTGCTTCTCTCCCACCTCCATGCCCTCTTAACTTCAAGGGACCGAAAGAAAGAGGGACTCGCCCAAGGAGTCAAGGACCCAGGATTCTGGCCTTGACGTGGCTCTGCAGAGGCACCCCAATGGGCTCTGTGGGGACTCGGAGGCTGCCTGGTCTGAGAACGCACCCCATCTGTGTCTTCCAGTTTCCAAAGCCGGGGGATTCTGCAACCCCCCTCTCCAGCCCAGCAGCACCCAAGGTCTGCTCAGAGACCCAGGCACCTGGGAAGGGAGCTGCCCCTGCCAGGGACAGTGGGAGAACCCGGCTAAGAAGGGGTTCACGGAGATCACCACTGTCAGGAGGCCCCAGCAGCTCCCGGCAGGGCTGTGCTGAACAGGGGGAGCGTGGGACCTAGGATGACAGGCACAACCAGGTGCTCCTGCCTGGGCCCAGCACCCCCAGGCTCGTTTCTCGCCCCAGTCTGGGCAGCAGTGCCTACCCTGCCCGTTTCACAGACAGGGACTTGGCCTAACTGAGCCGGAAGTCACGGCACGACCAAGGGCCTGTGGGGTGACATATCAGCCGCTTCTCATGGGACCTTCCGCATCCTTGATAGGTGCCCCTGCAACGCCATATCCGGGTTCCATTCGCAATGTCTGCGAGGGGAGGAAGGGAAGGCACCCCCATGTTTCGTGAGGACTCCCGGCTAGGCGTGCTGACTCCCCGCTACCGTCTGTTCAGAAAGAAAGAAAAAGTCTGAGCAGGCCCTGCCCTTCCGAGAGCTCCTGCCTGCTTGCCTCAGGGGGGCGGCACACATCCCGGTGTGAGGCCCGTGGTGTGGGGTGCAGAGAGACCTGGGCTCAGCCCTTCCTGGCCTGTCCTCCACCAGTGGGGCCCAGGAGCTGCTAGTGGTCAGCTTCCAGGGCAGTCCAGGCTGGTGGGAGGAGCCGTGCTGCCACCTACTGGCCGTGCAGCTGCCCTGCACCTTAGGGCCTGACAGATGGGACAAGGAGGGTGCTGGGACCCGCAGGGCTTTCTGCAGGAGTCAACGATGGAGAGTCTAACGGGGGGTTGAGCCCGTGGGGAACCTGATGGCCCTACTTTATTATTTCCCAGCAGTCCATACAGCAGGGACTTTCATCATCTGCATCTCCCCTGGCAAGTCCGGTTAGCCATGGCTGAGCTGTGGCTCCAGCCAGCCCTGCCTGCTCTTGGAGCCTGGGTGGGGTGAATGCTGCCGTCACCCCACTTCGCAGGACAGAAAGCAGGCTGGGGGGTGGTGACGGCCCAAAAGCCAAGCCACAAGGGGTGAAGGTGGCGGGCCTATGGCTGAGGGCTGAACCACCTGTGTGACCCGCGCCTCCCACCTCCACCACCCACACTCTAATCCTTTGCCCCCCCTACAGGGCAGGATCCCCTGAGGTCTTTCTGCTCCTTCATGGGAGGAGGAGGGCCCACCCAGAGGGAGGGTGGTCCCGGACAAACGGCCCACAGAGCAGCTGGCTTGAGGCCGTCAGGTGGTGCTCAGGTAAACCCCAGTCACTTACTAAAATAGGAGTTGCCCCAGCGGCAGCACGCAGCATGGCGGCTCAGTGCCCGCCCGTCCCACAGCTGCGTGGCCTCGTGCTGAGCCGGGGTGGCCCTGCTCGGGTCCGAACTCATCACACTGTCCAGGGTGCAGCCCAGGAGGCCTCAGGACAGGGCGCCGAGGGCCTCACCTGTGTTAGGGTCACAGGTGCCATGCTGGTTACAGGTGCAGGGGACACAGCTGGCGTAGGGACCGCCTTGGGGCGTCTCCCTCTTGTATCCTGGAGCGCAGGACTCACAGAACTGCCCCGTGTACCCCTTGGGACACGAGCACGTCTCCACCCAGGAAGCCGCTGGCGAGAGCCCCCGCTGGGCCGATGCCAGCCGGACTGCAGTCAGGAACACCGGCCCTGCGGGATGAGAAGAGAGTCAGGGAGCGGTCAGACCTCTCCCCAAATGTCCCTGCGTAACAGGCCCAGGATGAGGGTCTTCGAGAAGTTTATAGAAAGCCTGCATTCTGAAAAGGCTGTGCATAATTTCCTCTTTTTCACTAAATTTTGTTATAAAGCATGTATGTTGACTGGAGAGAGAAAAACTGACAAAGCACCCCATGGGGACAGTCCCGCTGCAATCTCTCCTCATCCTTCCTTCCTTTTGGGATTATGGGCATGCACACACACTCTCCTGGCACGTTTCTGAAGCTGCCAGGTCCGGGACTCGATCTCAGAGTCCGCCATGGGGGACCCAGTCATCTTAACCACCACACCACCAGCGGGCCCCTCGATTTTTTTTTTTTGCGCCAATATAAACTCATACTTTGACTCCATTTTCCCCAGATTATTTGAAGTCCCCTTGTATGTAAAGGCAGTTTATGAATCAATTACATAGTTTTTAAATAAAGGCACAGGGGCTGGTGCCATGGTCTAGTGGTTAAGGGAGCCAGATCCCACATGGCCGACCAGTGGTTGGAATTCTAGCTACAAAGGCTTGAAAACCATGCTGGGCACGTGTGTGCGGCCCCAAATCCTGACAGGACAAAGTGCAGGAGAGGGAACTGTAGTGTGACCTCACACCACCGGGGGGCGCTTCCGCCTCCTCAGTCTGTCTGATGAGACTAATGAATATAACAGCTCAGTAATTTCAATGTTTACTTTTAGTGAAAGGATTTTGATTAAAATGAAGCTACAGGGAATGTCGGAGAAATTTCTTACCTGCAAGGAGAGTGAATATTCTGTGTTTAAGTAAACTATGTGTGAATTTTTAAAAAATAATTACTTTTTAATTTAATTTTATTTATTTATTCATTTATTCTTAATTTGAGCAGAGAAAGACATAGCAAGATAGAGAGAGAGGGAAACTGAGAAAGCAAGCCACCAGGTCTGGGACTCGAACTGTGGTCAGCCATGTGGAGTGTCCAGTACCTTAGCTACCACACCACCTGCTGGTCCCCAACTATGTGTGAATTTTAAAAATAAACAAATCTGGGGACCAGCAGATAGCATAATGGTTACATCACTGGACTTCCACAGAGTCGACAATGGTTCAAGTCCCAGACCTAGCGGCTTAAAACTCACAGCGGGCGCGTGTGCGTGCGTGCCCAAGATCCTGAGAAGAGAATGGAGGAGAAGGGAGAGCGGCGTGGCCACCCCTCCTAGGGGGTCATTTCTCACTTTCTGTCTCTGACTCTCTCTGTCTCTCTGGCAAGTGCACACACCCTATCAAAAAATCTCTCTCAAAAAAGAAAGAAAGAAAGAAAGAAATCTGACATCTGAAATATGGTGTGGATGCATGAATACAAATTAGGAGGCTCAGCTCCTACTAATAGGGAAGGGCTCCTATCAGACCAAGCTTCCACAGAAAACAACCATCAACTCGGGTGAAACACAAAAACAACTTCCTGCAAACACCGGCGGCAGCGGGGAGGGTGAGGGCTGGCGCTGCTCATCAGAACTCAGACGAGGATAGCGGCTCCACAGAAAACCTGCCAGGATGTTTCAACGTTAGAACACACGGCCCTTGCCCTGTTGTTTCCGTTTCTAGGACGCTATCCTAGAGACACACGTGGACAAGGACACGAGGACCTTTATCTGAGGCCAGTCTCTATTCCCTGCAGCACGGTTTGCCATGGCGAAAACCGGAACGCACTGAAACGTCTGTCAACAGATGATGATTAAAACCGCGCAGAGCAGCTATACCAGGGAAGCAGACCCGGGGGACACGGGAAGCAGCCTTTCCTACGTGTAATGACAAGGAACGATCTCAGAGACACACTGTCAGCAGAAGAGGCACGCTCAGGGCACTGTACCATGCGCTCACATTTCCACAGTGAGCGAGACGTGAGCACAGACCCAGAAGGGTTGAGAGAGATGTGTCCCCAAATACTGGCAGTGGGAGTGGGAGGTTTGGGGGTGGAGGGGAGGGGGTGGTAGGCCCATCTGCCTCTCTGGGGCCCTGGCACCAGCTAGGTAATACCTGGTAACTGGATGTCGAGTGAATGGCACAGGGCAGGGACCAGTAGATGGCATAATGGTTACATCCCTGGACTCCCATAGTCGACTGCAGTTCGAGTCCTGGATCTGGTGGCTCAAACTCACACCAGGCATGTGTGCGTGTGTGCCCAAGATCCCGAGAGGAGAATGTTGGAGAAGGGACTGTGGTGTGGCCACCCCCCCTGGGGGGTGATTTCTTACTTTCTGTCTTTCTGTTTCTGTCTTTCCAGCAAGCACAAAAAAAATTTAAAAAACAAAACAAAAACAAAAACAGCCTCGCTTAAAAAATAACATTCCTGGGCAAAGGGGGAGAAGGTAGTCTGGCACTCTGTGGGGGCAGAGAGGCTGTGGGGCCCGGGGGACGAGGGCAGCTCAAGCACCCCCCAGGAGGAGAAAGGAAGACAGGACTGGGCCGGAGGGGAGGGGCTGCAGCCCTAGCCCTCGGACTTGAAGAGGGCCCAGGGAAAGCTTAGCATCTAAGCTAGAGGTCCTCAGAAGGAGCAACGGCGCCCCCCAGGAATCAAACCTGACGGCACTTGGGTCATCCTAATAACGGGAGGCAGGAGCCAGGCATGCCAGGATACCCCAACATGCCTGGGAACTCCCCATGTGACTGTCAAATGCCCCAAGGGAAGTTGGAGGGGCAGGGACCCCCTCTGCAGACGTTGGAGCCTCGACCCCAACTCCATTTGTGCACAGACACCAGCTGCTTCTGCATGTTCAAAGCATGTGTGCAACCGTGCAGGGCTGTGGCCCCTGGGAGTGGAAGGGAACACCGTGCTGTGTTTCGTTCGGAATTTTCCTGACTGTCACTCACCAATGGCGGCCTGGGGGCTCAGTCACCATGGTCACACACCCTCTTCTGTCCGTGGCCTCTCTGCAACTTCTCACTTACAGTGACCCAGCAGGTATTCGGTTACGATACTTTTGACTGTTTTCTTCTTGGCTAGAGGTGTATGTGCTTACCACAGAGAAACAGAGTGAGAGAGGAGAGAGCACTCTTCATGGGGATGGCCATGCCGCAATCCTTCTCCTCCATCATGCCCTCCTTTTCAGATTTTGGGTACACACGCACCTGCCTGCATGTTTCTCAAGTCATCAGGTCCAGGACTCGAACCATGCGGTCGGCCACGTAGAATCCAGCTGCCTTAATGACCACGCCATAATGCTTTCAAAATGACAGGGCCAAGGCCAGGAGATAGTGTGGTGGTTGGGGTGCTGGACTCCCACATGGCCAACCATGGTTCAAGTCCTGGACCCGGTGGGTTGCTTTCTCTCTAGTAGGTGTACTTTCTCTATAGCAAATTTTTAAAAATGATAATAATAAGTTAAATAATTCTTAGAAAAAAAATGACAGAGCCAGTTCCTAGCACAGTGGTTAAAGGAACCAGATCCCACACAGCCGACTGCAGTTTGAATCCTGAGGCCTGGCAGCTCAAACGTATGCCAGGCAAATGTGCATGCCCCAAATCCAGACAGGAGGGAAACCAGAGGACGGCAGGATGGCCACGCGCCGTTGGAGGCTACGCTCGCTCGCTCTCCCTTCCTGGTGAGCACACGCGCCCCCGGCAATTGAAAGGAATGAATGAATGAACGGCCACCAGGAAGGACTTAAAGAATAAGGGACAGTCGTGTTGAGCGGAACATCTGCCACCCGGTTTACAGCCTCACCACAGACCGACAGCTCCTGCCAAGGGTTCTGCCCCGACAGAGCAACGAAGCCAACCACCAAGATCAAGTAAGACCAAGTAAACCTTTGATTAATAAAGGAGCCCCCGGACCAGGCTGGCACAGCTGCTGACCCTCGCCCACCTGTGACCAGCCCAGCCTCAGTGTCTTCTGAGTGCCCTCACCACCGCCTGCCCGGTTGTGGTGGATCTCAGCCCTGCCTTTGTCCTGGCATGGCCACCCTGATTCTGCCCTGCCCTGTACTCCATCACGTAATGGCTTCTAGGCTTCTCGTCCCTCCGAAACCCAAACATCCTCAGGGAAGCTCTCGCCTCGCCCTACGTTTCCAGTGTGGTAGTGCCTGAGCACTGATGCCTTGGCTCATACAATCATTTTTGTATCGTTTCCTTTCCTTTTACCTATTCTGAGTGTCACAGTTACAACGCCATATTGTTGGTTAGTTTGTTTAATTTTTGCTAGTGTGTGCACACTCACTGGAGCAGGACAGAGAGGGAAAGTGAGACAGCACCCTCCAGGGAGGACAGCTCACTGCAATCCCTTCTCCTCCACACTCCTCTCAGAGTTTTGGGCGCACACACTCACCAGAGAGATAGAGACGGAAAGTGAGAAATCACTCGAGGGGATGGCTACGCCTTAATCCCTTCTCTTCCTTTCTCCTCTCAGGATTTTGGGCACACACGCACAAGTGCCTGGCATGAGTTTCAAATCGCTTGGTCTGGGACTCGAACCACCACTGACCAAGTGGAAGTCCAACGCCTTAACCGCTACACCACCTACTGGCCCCCTCAGTGTTTCTCAAGCCATCTTCCAAGTCCGGGACTCCAAGCGTACCATCAGCCCTGTAGGATTCAGCCACTTTAACCACCTTGCCACCAGCTGACCTGATGTGGTTTTTAAAATTGTGTGTGTGCAGGGAGGAGGGCAGCGGATGGCATAGCAGCTACGACACTGGACTCCCATACGGCCAGCCGCAGTTGGAATCCCAGACCCCTTGCTGGGCTGGGCACGTGTGTGCCCAAGGTCCTGGGAGGACAGTGGAGAAGGGATTGATTGCAGCATGGCCATTCCCCCTGGGGAGTGATTTCTCACTTCCCTTTCACTGTGTCTATAAGTCGTCTCCCACCCCCACCCCTAACCCCAAAAATCTTTAAAAAAAAAAAAAAAAAAGAGAGAGAGAGGACCTGATCTGGGGGTGGCTTACATGCAATACCACCAGTGAACAGCAGGGGTGCTGACCTCCCAGGGGCCCGGGTTTCCTGCAGCCAGCAGACACACAGGGCAAAGGATTCTGGGATGGAGGAGTGACCACACCTGTCCTTAGAGGTGTCCACCCTCAGGCCCCTCACCTGTCCAGCCCCAGTCATTGTCCTTTGTCACTATCCCTGTATTTTATTTTTAAAATAATTATTTAATTTTACTTATTATTATTATTTAATTTGTTATAGAACACATGTGCTCACGAGAGAGAGAGAGAGAAAGTGAGACAGCAAGCTGCCAGGTCTGGGACTTGAACCGTGGTTGGCCATGTGGGAGCTCAGCGCCCCAACTACCCGTCCACCTGCTGGCCCCCACTCCTGCTGGCTTTGGATGATCTTCCGCGATCTCTGAGCCTGAGTCCTTCTTGGTAAAGTGGGAACAGGGACCACCCTGCTGTGAGGGCTCAACAGGGCCACACAGACGGAGCCCAGCCGGTTCCAGGCCCTGATGACCGCTCGGTTCCTCGGGGCACAGGTCACCTCACTGACCTGAAGGGCTTGGGCTTCGGCCTCCGGCCCAGATGCGCAGAGCGGTCAGGTTGGCGAGGAGCCGCTGGAAGTGGAAGGGGGGCAGTGGGGGGTCCACGTCCTCAGAGGTCTCCTGCAAGCTGGCGGGGAGAAGTGGCCAGACAAGACGCCGATGTGGGCAGTGGTGCTGGGAACCTGGGTGTCAGTGGCAGCCCCCAAGCCCCATGGGGGCAGATGTGTGCCCAGCCCCTCTCTCGGGACGTAGGACTCTTACCGAAACCGGATCTGTGCCTCCCCTGGCTGCCCGGCACCCTGGGGGCCCGACAGGCTGGAGTGCTTCAGAGACAGGGCCAAGCCTGCCCCCTCCAGCCTCAGCTGCACCGGGAGTGGGGAGCCCCCGGGGGACACCTGGAGGGTCAGCGTGAGGGGCTGCCCATAACTGAGCCTCTGGTCTCCCAGGAACTTCTCTGAAAAGAGAGGGTTCGGGCAGTCTTTGAACAACTCATTTGATTTTCAATGTCTTTCTCGATTTCTCTGGCAATTACACACTCAGATGAGACAAGCCTGCAGCACGCAGACAAAGGCACCCTGCAAGGCAGATGGGCGTCCACACCTCCTCCCGCCCCGGGCCCACGGCTGCACCGCACCGCCTGGCCTACACTCTGCCGCCACCGTCTGGACATTCTTCACAACTTGGGGTTTGTGAGTGGAGTCTGCGGGGGCAAAGGAGTCGGTACAGGGACAGAGGCGACGCCGGCAGTGTGCACACCGTGTCACCCTCTGCTCGCTCACGCAGTGTTCGTGATGTGGGTGCGGAGAGGCCCACGGCGAGTGGGCAGGGGCGAGTCTCAGCCCTGGTGACCAGGCAGAGGCGCCACTTCCCATCTGAACCAGAACTGGACAGAGGCACAGGCATCGTGAGATGTGAGGACCGCGGCGCCTGCCCCAGCCTTCATCTGTGTCACTGGCCGCGGGACACAGGAGGGGACAATGGGCCCCGTGGCTCCTGTCATCCTTTTTGTCCGTCCTCACTCATGAGTGAGCCAAAGGCAGAAGGGGTGAGTGAGTCATGTGCACGTCAGGGAAAGAAACAGGCGGTGGGCACGGCGGGGATGTGCTGCTCAGGCAGTACTGGGTCCACGTGGGAGGTCCCAGGTTCGTATCCCGGTCGGCCTGTACACGCCAGGTGCAGGCCCATGATCCTGCTGGTTGGAAAGGCTGGGGTGGGGGTGGTGGCACAAGACTGGAGGGGGTGTGTGTGGAACATCCCCAGGCCCGCGTGGAGCGGGATGGGAAGGACGTGACTGGCTGGGGGAACAAAGGATGGGCTCCGGGCTCCTGGTTCTGGTCTGACGCGGGGGCCAGGAGACCACAGTCCCCCTAACTGGTGGCGGGTGTTTCGGAATAACGAGAACTCCCTTCTGCAGGAACCCCATGGCCCTGGTGCAGGTGCAGGGGCTGGTGAGCGGCTGTGGGGCTTGTCTTGGATATGACCATGGCAGTGGGCTCTGTGGGACTGAAGGAGTCCCAGTGGCAAGGCTATGACCCAGAAAATGGGTTTCATCAGACGCTGGGGTCTGAGGGCAGGAGAGTAGTCCCTGACCCTGGAATCTGTGAAGACTGTCGGTTACAGGGTGGGGAATCGAGGCTTGTGGGAGGGCTCCTGGGCTATCCAGCTGGGCCCACGTCATTGAGAGGGGCCACACAGGATGCACCAGCAAGCCAGAGCTGGCGTCAGTGACGGGAATGAGAAAGACGCGGCAGCCTCGAAGCTGGAGGAAGGGGCCATGAGCCAGGGAATGTGGGCGCTTCTAGGAGCCGGAAAAGGCAAGGGGCGGATGTTCCCCTGGAGCCCCTGGAAGGAACCCGACCTGCTGACAGCTTGGTCTGGGCTCCGGGGACCCATCTCAGACTCTGACCTCCAGGGCGCTGGCGGGTAATGGCTGTTCTCAGCCACTGAGTGGAGGACAGGTACCTGGTGCTATGAGCTCCTCCCCGTCTTCAGGGCCCAGGAGGACCCCACTTGGGCTCCACTGTGGGGGGTGCTCCAGGCCCCCCACGCTTCTGGCCCTCCAGCCCTCAGCTCCTGGATAGAAAACAGACACACACACACCCCAATAGCACGAGGCCCTGGTGACTGGTCCGGTGGGGGTCTTGGGGCAGAGGAACCCCGAAAGCAGGAGAACTCAGGGACTCAGCCCTGCTTGGGGCATGGTCATACCTCTAGGCCCACCCCAGCCCATGGTGGATCTGGAGCTCAACAGGAGGACACAGCCAGGACCCCAACACAGGACCTTAGGACATTGGGGCCATCTCTGACAGTATGGATGTGACCTGGTCATCAGAGGATCTGTCCCCATCAGCCCTGACCTCCCAGGTACACGTGCCATGAACCCTGCTGCACAGAGGGCGGCCTCTGTCAGGAAGGGGCCTCTGGCCCCCCATCCCAGTTCAGTCCCAGCCGCGGGACAGCAGTTAGCACTGAGCATAGTCCAGCGAAGAGCAAATGACCTCAAACATGTGCTCTCCGGGGGTAGTGGGGCTGCAGCACCCAGGGCTTGGGGGTGGGGAGGTCAGAAAGAGATACCGGGGCTCTTTGGTGCCAACGGGGTTCTGCTTCTGCAGGGTTTGTGACTCTGGGGAGCTGCTTAACCTCCCTGAGGCGGGATCCTCATCGGTAAAATGAGGGCAATGAAGCACACAGCCCAGGTGGCAGCTCTGGAGGGTCCAAACACCCAGGAGATCCCCGCTGGCATGGACGTCCCCCTGGGGGGTGACTTTTCACCTTCCCTCTCCCCATCTTTCTCTGTGTCTCTCTGGTGGGTGCACACACTCTATGGCAAAAACCTTTTAAAAATTTACAAAGTTATTCTTCACAGAATGGATTTAATAGTGTGACAGGTTCGCTGTGGCTTTAAGTGAATTCATAGATAAATATTTTTGAGACACTCGGTTTTCATCTCTAGTACAGAAAATATCCCTCAATAACCTACTTAATTCAAATGCTCTGGTCCGCAGTAATTTTCAAGATGGAAAAGTTTCAGAACAGTTGGCCAAGGGCGATTGTGACACAAAAATGAAAGGACGGCCCTCAAGCGCCACTTCAGGGCCTGGCTCCAGGTGAGAACAGGTGGCGATAACGTTCTCAGGGCCTAGAAAATGGGACCCGCCAGATACCAACGTCCTGGCCTCCTGGTCCTGACTTCGGCGCAGCGTCCAGCAGAGGGTGCGCTGCACACGTGCCTGGGCCGCCCCTAGGCCGCGACGGAGAACCTGCCCAAGGCCAATGCCCGGCTCAGAGGCCTGGCTCCGGGGACAGAGGCAGAGGAGGTGAGAGGCGCTCCCAGGGGCGTGGCCAGGACGCCACGGGCTCTGCTTTAATGTCCAGTGCAGAGTTCTGCCACCTTGCGGCTCCAGAGCCACCTGGAGCGGGGGACCAAACAGAGGGCCTGTGCCACAGCTAAGAGCAAGGCTCAGGAGCGAGGCACAGGGGCCAGGCCTGTGACTGTCTTCCCTGGGCCTCAGCTCATCTGTGAAACGGCAAGGAGAGGACCCACTAGGGACGCTGAGGTCGCCTGCGTGTGAGGGGTTCAGCACACGCAGCATGTGAGGGGCTCAGCACACGCAGTGTCTGAAGGACGGTAGCTGCTTGGTGACGGAAGCCAGGAGGTAGAGCCTGAACCGCCAGCACCTAGGTATGTCAAGGGAGGCCGGGAAGGCTGACCTTGACAGAGGGACAAATTCCCCTCCAGGATCTGACAGCGCCTGGCACCCTGCAGCCCCCCACCTCCCGAGTGTAAGTGCTGCTGGAGGTGAGAGCTTGGGGGGGGTCACAGGTGGGTACTGGGGTGCACTGAAGGGCAACAGGTGAGCCGCCCTCTCACATGGCCCCATCCAGGCAGTGGCCTGGGGCTCCCTAATATGGGGGCTACGCCTATCCCCACCATCAGACACGAGAGCCCCCCAGAGAAGGACTGTCTTCTCCCTACAGGGCCAGAGGGGCTCTCCTTACCCTGGTGGAAGTCGGAGTAGACGTGGTGCTCCCGGAAGTGGGCAGCGGCTGCACACACCCTGGAGTGGCCATAGCAGAAGCAGCTGCGCCAGCCGGTGGGGGTGTGGGGCGGGCGGTTAAACCCATCAGCCCTGACCTCCCAGGTACACGTGCCATGAACCCTGCTGCACAGAGGGCGGCCTCTGTCAGGAAGGGGCCTCTGGCCCCCCATCCCAGTTCAGTCCCAGCCGCGGGACAGCAGTTAGCACTGAGCATAGTCCAGCGAAGAGCAAATGACCTCAAACATGTGCTCTCCGGGGGTAGTGGGGCTGCAGCACCCAGGGCTTGGGGGTGGGGAGGTCAGAAAGAGATACCGGGGCTCTTTGGTGCCAACGGGGTTCTGCTTCTGCAGGGTTTGTGACTCTGGGGAGCTGCTTAACCTCCCTGAGGCGGGATCCTCATCGGTAAAATGAGGGCAATGAAGCACACAGCCCAGGTGGCAGCTCTGGAGGGTCCAAACACCCAGGAGATCCCCGCTGGCATGGACGTCCCCCTGGGGGGTGACTTTTCACCTTCCCTCTCCCCATCTTTCTCTGTGTCTCTCTGGTGGGTGCACACACTCTATGGCAAAAACCTTTTAAAAATTTACAAAGTTATTCTTCACAGAATGGATTTAATAGTGTGACAGGTTCGCTGTGGCTTTAAGTGAATTCATAGATAAATATTTTTGAGACACTCGGTTTTCATCTCTAGTACAGAAAATATCCCTCAATAACCTACTTAATTCAAATGCTCTGGTCCGCAGTAATTTTCAAGATGGAAAAGTTTCAGAACAGTTGGCCAAGGGCGATTGTGACACAAAAATGAAAGGACGGCCCTCAAGCGCCACTTCAGGGCCTGGCTCCAGGTGAGAACAGGTGGCGATAACGTTCTCAGGGCCTAGAAAATGGGACCCGCCAGATACCAACGTCCTGGCCTCCTGGTCCTGACTTCGGCGCAGCGTCCAGCAGAGGGTGCGCTGCACACGTGCCTGGGCCGCCCCTAGGCCGCGACGGAGAACCTGCCCAAGGCCAATGCCCGGCTCAGAGGCCTGGCTCCGGGGACAGAGGCAGAGGAGGTGAGAGGCGCTCCCAGGGGCGTGGCCAGGACGCCACGGGCTCTGCTTTAATGTCCAGTGCAGAGTTCTGCCACCTTGCGGCTCCAGAGCCACCTGGAGCGGGGGACCAAACAGAGGGCCTGTGCCACAGCTAAGAGCAAGGCTCAGGAGCGAGGCACAGGGGCCAGGCCTGTGACTGTCTTCCCTGGGCCTCAGCTCATCTGTGAAACGGCAAGGAGAGGACCCACTAGGGACGCTGAGGTCGCCTGCGTGTGAGGGGTTCAGCACACGCAGCATGTGAGGGGCTCAGCACACGCAGTGTCTGAAGGACGGTAGCTGCTTGGTGACGGAAGCCAGGAGGTAGAGCCTGAACCGCCAGCACCTAGGTATGTCAAGGGAGGCCGGGAAGGCTGACCTTGACAGAGGGACAAATTCCCCTCCAGGATCTGACAGCGCCTGGCACCCTGCAGCCCCCCACCTCCCGAGTGTAAGTGCTGCTGGAGGTGAGAGCTTGGGGGGGGTCACAGGTGGGTACTGGGGTGCACTGAAGGGCAACAGGTGAGCCGCCCTCTCACATGGCCCCATCCAGGCAGTGGCCTGGGGCTCCCTAATATGGGGGCTACGCCTATCCCCACCATCAGACACGAGAGCCCCCCAGAGAAGGACTGTCTTCTCCCTACAGGGCCAGAGGGGCTCTCCTTACCCTGGTGGAAGTCGGAGTAGACGTGGTGCTCCCGGAAGTGGGCAGCGGCTGCACACACCCTGGAGTGGCCATAGCAGAAGCAGCTGCTGCAGCCGGTGGGGTTGTGGGGCTGCAGGGTAAATGTCCCCGGGCGACATCTGGGATGGGGCCAAGGTTAAATGTCCCCGGGCGACATCTGGAATGGGGCCACATGACTGGATCAGCAGGGGCCAGCGGCGGCCCCAGCTTCCCTAGGAGTCCAGATTACTGGGGACACTGAAAAGGTTTTCAGGACTGCAGGAGCGCTGTGGGGACCAGAGAGTCGCTGACGTTGGCTGACTCCCTGCAGCACGCGGTCGCACCTGAGAGCGCCACACCCCTGGGTGTTAAATTCCAGGCTTCCTCGTGTCGTGTCCGGTCTCCGCTCCAGGAGCCTGTCCAGGGCACAGTGCTGCACGGGCGTGTCCCTGGTCTCCCGCCATATGTGACAGCGTCCCCTCCCCTTGTCTGCCACAACCTTGACACTTTTTGAAAAATACTGGTCGGGCATTTTTAGAATGCCCTTCAGTTTGGGTTCACTTGTCTGATGTTTTCTCATGATTAGACCAGGATCGAAGGTGTCCCGAAGAAACACCCAGAATTGGGGAGGGCCCTTCCCACGGCACATGGGGTACAGCTGCAGTGATGTTCATCTCCGCCCCTGGTTAGGGCGCAGTCACAGGTGTCCCCTAACCCCCCAGCTCCCAGGATCCTGGGCACACACACACCTGGTATGTTCGCAGGTTGACTCGGGACCCAAACTCGTGGTCGGCCATGTGGTTTCCAGCCCTGCAGTTCGGTACACCACAGCCTGGGCCATCAGGCCGGGTCAGTAACTAACAAGGAGCTGGTCCAAGGTTATGAAAATCCCTTGGCTCCTTGTAAAGGTCCTTCCCTCCATGTCAGCGCTCACAGCTCTAGACTAGAGGCGACGTGATGTTCTGACAGCGGTTTTCAGTTGACCTCATTCCTTCTATGTTCATTTTATTTTTAAAAAATTATTTAAAGTTAGTTTATTTCTTTCATGAGCAGAGAGAGATAGCAACCCCAACAGGGTGCCAACACCAAGATCCAGCCCTATCCAGTCCTGGGCCACAGGCACACGCATGCTCGGCACGCTTAGGGAGGGCCCTGGACGTGAGCTCGGAACCTCCACGGGGATGGGCTTTGCAGCGCGTTGGGCTCCACGGCAATGCCGTTTCCTGGCCTTCGCCCCTTCAGCAAAGACGACTCGCCCTTGGCCCGTCCATCTGCCGTCACCTGCTGACGTGGGTGTGGGCTCTGCATACTCACTCTGTCCTTTGGGTTATAATCTGATACTACCAGCTCTTACTGTGTTACTTGAATTGATCAGCCTGGGGGAGGGAAGCCCTTTCAGGTTGGCTATGTGTTCGTCACACAGGCCCCAGGCTGGCTGGGTTTGGCCTGTGCATGTCTGTTTTTGTTTTTGAGCACGTCCTTGCTGTCCAGCACTGCAGGACTTTCTAGGCCCGTCTGGAGTTTTTGCTGCCTGAGCCTGAATCAGCCATGTCTCCAAGTAGCCCGGAGGAAACAGTGTTTCACAAATTCAGATTCCTGGCCTGCTTAGAGGCCGTGGAGGAATCTGATTCCCGAGGCACTGTGGACAGCCCTGACACCCAGCCAGTTCAGGCGAACACACCTCACCAAGCCCTCCCACTTCACAAACGGGCGAGCAGGCTGAGGACAGGCAGCGCTCAGGGCCATAGGTGGGCTCTGGCTCCCGGCGCCACTCTGCCCTGCACTTGCGCTGTCTCTGTAGGGAGGAAGACCCTGTAGGGACCACACGAGGGGCAGCTGGGGCTAGCCACGGTGAGAGTCAAGGCCAGGGCCCAGCCACATGGCTGCGGCATGGTGAAGGGCTTCAGAGCCGAGAAGAGCAGATGGCATGAACCCAAGAAGGCAAAGCCGGGTGTCTGCCGTGCACTGCTGGGGCTCAGAGGCTTCAGATCACTTCACAAAGGAAGGTGACAGACATGACTGGGAAAGACGCCTTGCCTTGTTGATCTTCAGACATCCCAGTGGTACCATGACAGGACTGAGGATGTCAAATGGGCTCAAATCTCAGCTCAGTTGCTGGGGCTTTCTTGAAGCAGGGCATTAGGAGGGATCCTGAGGTTATAGTAGGGCTCACGGTAAAGAGTGCTGTGATGTCTGCCGTGGGTGGGAAAGGGAGCGTTGTGTCAGTGCTCCACCAGTGATGCCTGCCGTGGGTGGGAAAGGGAGCGTTGTGTCAGTGCTCCACCAGTGATGCCTGTCGTGGGTGGGAAAGGGAGCGTTGTGTCAGTGCTCCATTAGTGATGCCTGCCGTGGGTGGGAAAGGGAGCGTTGTGTCAGTGCTCCACCAGTGATGCCTGCTGTGGGTGGGAAAGGGAGCGTTGTGACAGTGCTCCATTAGTGATGTCTGCCGTGGGTGGGAAAGGGAGCGTTGTGACAGCTCCCTCAGCAACGTCTGCCGTGGGCAGGGAATGGAAGGTGATGATACGTATCGCTGTGTTTTGGCTGTGTCTGGTGTAGATGATCTTGCCTATCCTTTCCAGTTCTTTCTCAGGATCCAGAGCGAGGATGTTTTCTCGGCTCATGAACCATCGGTGGTGGGGGGTTAGAATATAAACAGTGCCAGAAAGCCTCTGGGTGGCTTCTTGATGGCAGACCCACAATGCCCCAGGAAGGATGCAGCATGAGGGGGTTTCTAAGTCCCTGAGGATCGTGCCTCGCTCCTGCCCCCACTCCCCAGCCTTGGTGCCTCTGCAGTGACCCCCAGGTCATGCCCAGCAGGCTCACCGGTGAATGGCCACCCACCTGTCACACTGGCTGCCTTCCACGTTCTCTTTGCAGGGGCAGCGCCCACTCCGAGGGTCGCAGGTGCCCAGGCTGCCGGCAGGATTACAGACGCAGGGTCTGCCAGAGAGGGATAAGGAACAGCGTCCGGTGAGGAACTTCGGGGTGAGAGTGACTCATCCTCAGAAGACACTTCCCATCCTGCCCCGTTCCTAAGACTGGCAGGCAGGTTGACCTGCGAGCTGCCCGCTGGCTGTGCTGTTCCCACTTTGCCCAAGGACCCACCCTCGCCCACTCCAACGGTGCCCTCCTGCCTGCCCCGGCCCTCCACTCACTCCATCGGTAGGTCCAGAAGTCCACCCAGCCAGCCATTCGCCTTCCCACCCTTACTACTATTAGTATTGATGTATTTACTTTCAAAATTTTGCCAGAGGACATGTGTACTGGCCAGAGACAGAGCGAAAACAATCAAGTCCCCACGTGGGATGGCCACCCTGCAATCCCTTCTCCATCTCTCCCTCCTTTCAGGATTTTTGGCATGCATGCACACGTGCCTGGTGTTTTTTATATATAGCGTATTAATTTATTTACATTTGAATCACAGTACATCATTACAGTGGTGCCTGGCGTGTTTTCAAAGCTGCTACGTCCAAGACTTGAACCACATGGGATCCAGCCACTTTAACCACCAGGCCAAGGGGCCGGCCCATCCTTCCATGCTTCATCAACCACTCAGTCACTCGCTCAACCCTCCACGCACCTTTCCGTCCATCCGTCCACCCTCTACTCACCGCCTATATCGTGCCTCTCACCCCCCCATTCACCCGCCCATCTGCAAAGACATGGTTCCTGCTCTCGGGATCCCACAGACCAGCGAGGACAGACGGGTGGACAGGCAGACATCACACTGTGACATGAACTATGTTAGGAGACACAGAGGCCATGGCAGTGCCGAGGAGGGCAGGTGACCCAGCTGAGGGGTGCAGTGAGGAGGGGTGCGGTAAGGAGGGCTGTGGTGAGGAGGCGGCGTGGGGAGGAGAGGGCGCGGTGAGGAGGGGTGTGGTGAGGAGGCCGCACGGTGAGGAGGCCGTGCAATGAGATTCCAGAGGGAGCAGCCCCTCCGCTGAGAACTGAAGGATGAGCGAGAGCTGCTAGCGGGCTGGAGAGAGGCAGCGGTGGGCGAGTGAGCCAGGGTGGGAGGGACAGCACGTGCAAAGGCCCACGGCCAGAGACCCTGGGGGCATCCAGTCCTGTCTGATGGCCAGTGCTGTGCCAGAAGCACCAGGTGTCCTGCAGGACCCTGCGAGGACTCCCCACACTCCCCAACACCTCTTCACTGCCTTTCAGGGATGCAGGGAGACTGCTATTAGCCAAGGCCGCATCCATGTGGAAGTGCTTCCACGCTGACGACAGCCCCTCTCTCTCTCTCTATTTTTTTGGCCCTACCCAATGTCTCTTGTGTCCTCCCCCCGCCCCAAGGGACTGGACGTCTCTATCCCCACCAGGACTGGGACTGGGCAGCTGCAGGATAAGGAAATGCTGAAGACAGGAGGCGGGCAGGGGGAGACAGTGACGCCTCAGCCCAAGCACACCACTGGGGGTCACTCCCGCGGCCGCTCTCACCTGCAGCCACCCTCGCTGAGTGAGTGGAAGCCGGGCAGGCAGCGGTCACACTTCCAGCCCGTCACAGTGGGCTTGCAGGGGCAGGTGCCCGAGTCGTCGCACTGGAGCCGCAGGGAGCCTGGGGGAGGAAAGGCACAGGGCAGCGGAGTCCAGAGCAGGGCGAGGGCGGGGAGGTGGGTGGCAGGCCCCTCACCTGCTGGGTGGCAGTCACAAGGCTGGCAGGGCATGTGCTGGTCCCAGCGATAGAAGTTCTCCTGGCAGTGCTCACAGTGCGGCCCTGCTGTGTGGTCACGGCAGTGCCCACAGCGGCCGCCATGGCCTGTGCTGCGGAAGAGCTCCCGGTCAAACGAGCACTCCTCAGAGCGACCGCTGCAGTTGCAGGCTGTGGGCAGGAGGCAGGGAGGCTGTGAGCAGCCCTGGCACATGGCCTGTGCCACTCAGCCTTCCCGTGCAAGGGAGAGGCAGCTCAGGGAAGGGCAGGATGTTCATATGGAATTCAGGCCCAGCTTGATCAAGGATATGAGGACCAACAGGCTGATCTTCCAAAACAGGACACTCTCAAAGAGCTAACGGGGCGCCATTAATAAATATGCACTCGAAGAGCCAAGGGGACACCGTCAACACTTCCTAGACACAGGGCTCGTGTGGTCCCCTGGTCAGGGTTGGAGAATGGCCACCTTCTGGAACGGTAGCACGGCCCACTTTAAAATCCCTTGTGGTTTTTCCACGCCATAAAAATAGTATAAACCTGGCCCTGGTGACCGAGCTCACTCAGGCACACAGACAGGAGTCCGCCGCATTTCCTTGCGGTCCCTGGAAGGTGTACACGGAGGACTGACTCCGTTTCAGCTGCCGTAGCAGGGAAAGGTACAGTGCCCCACCCCCGCCAGCATCACGCTGCCCACAGTGAGCACGTGCAAACCCCTTGGGCACAGAGCCGCGAGAGAAGCAGGGGCTCTGGGAGCTGAAGGGAGGAAGCCTTGCCCATGCAGTGTGATGGATCGCCTTCCTGGAGGGAGTCCCAGCCGGGCTGCACCTCCAGCTGAGGAGGAAGGAGGTGATCAGGTGCGGAGAGGGAGTGGCAGAGTGGCCCAAGCAGGAGGTGACAGTCTGCAGGAAACTACACCGGCCAGAGAAGCACGGCTGAGGCTGGCTGTGGTGGGCAGGGAGGGGGGCGGAAGAGCTGGGTTCAAGGAGGCTGGGCCGCCGTGGTCAATGGAGTTCAGCTTGGAGCAAGGAGGAGCCTTGGGAGGGCTGACGCTGGAGACGCATGCACTTAAATCAGCACTTCAGAAAGAGCCTCGGCTGCAGGGAGAGGAGAGGAGGGAGCTCTGGGCCCCAGGAGGGGTGACAGGGCCCGGGCCAGCACTGGCTGTAGGGAACAGAGGTGGGCTGCAGGGGTGTTCACGAGACAGGTCCTCTGGCTTGCAGGTGTCCCCAAGAATCCGTGTGTTACAACCCGGCAAGCTGGTGAGCTCCGTGTGCAGAGGTAACGCCCCGCTCAGGGCACCAGAGCCCAAGTGGCAGCTGCACTCGGAGCCCTGGCCCCATCAGCCAGAAGTGCACCAGGCACGCGTGTGAGTGCCCACACCCAGTGGGCCAGAGACAAGGGAGGGGATCGTGGTGGTGTGACGGACTCGGGAGACCCCCCCCACCCCAAGCTCTATCATGAATAAGGAAAGAATATTCTGTGAGCCATGTGAGGTGGCGAGGGTGGAGCCCTATCCGACATGGTGTTGAAAGGTGGGGCCTTGGGGAAATGCACCAGAGTGACTGGGTCCTGCTGGGTTCACAGGCAGAGGGGTGGGCGCTGACTCAGACACGTGCTGCTCTGCCCCAGCTCCCGCCCCTGCCCTCCATCCCTGACGAGACCCTCCCCAGATATGCCCGGACCTCCGCCCTGAGCTCAGTCAGCTCTGCTTTTCAGCCCACCCAGACCTGAGGATCAGGGGCTGCCGGGGCCAGGGCTAGGGCTGGGCTGGGGGTCGGGGGTCAGGTGCAAAGCCCTAGCTCCAAGGCTAGTGACTGGAGGATACAGTTGTGACCAAAGGGGTGATAACACAGCAGACACAGGCTGGCCTTACGTGTCCCCACCACAGTGACAGGCGTGGGCTCAAACATGCGAGCCAGCCGGCACCACTTCCTTAGGCCTCGAGGAATCCCT